ACAGAATCACATACAACCAGTCAATATGCTAATACAAGCACTTGGAAGAGAGGTTTAACAAACAGTTCTGATGCTATGTTGCCTAATTCAGATGAAGATGAATGCCCATTTGATCCTCCGGAGTATCCTGATCATTTAAAGCAGTTTGCACTAAGAAATTTTACTTTTGTTGAAAATATTGAAGAACAATTGAAAAGTATGATTATGCAGGTAAGTTTATTTAAAAAAACCACTTTGTGAATATTATTCTACGGATATTTTATTTAAGTCTTTCTGTCTACCGCTAAGTTTGATATTCACTAAAAGTTAGTCCACAATACTAAAATTTGTTTCAGTCTTGAGAAAGTTGTTTAAAGTGCAGTTTTCTCACAATGACAATCAACGGCAATAATATTATTTACTGTCTTCAGTTTGTCACTAAACAACAGCATGATGATCTTAACACATAGTCACTATCACAGTGATTTTGTCAAACAATATGTTTTCTTAGATTTACTGAAACTACGTACATGAGATCAACTGAAGTAAGTAGATTGTTTTATCTCCCCAGAGTATTTACATACGAAAATATATGAATAAGGAGTGGTTCCATAATCAATAATAGTTCGTTTTTGTTAAATTTACAAACAAAGTAACGAACGCAGCAACGTGTATAGGCTCGTAGATTGTTCGACGTAGTCAGACAAATGAAGCTTAAATCAGCCAATACGATTAATGAAAAATATACAGAAAGAGGAATAAAAACTAGTTATTAATAATACAGCTGTAATACACATACACTTTACAAGTTTATAACACGTCATGACAGTTTTCCGCTGGCTTTTTTTTCCTACATAGTAGAAATGATATATGCTAGTCATTAGAGGAATTATTAACTTTGCTGGTTATTTAAAGACAACTTGATTATAATCTGTAACATAATACATTTATTTTGTGCTTTTGCCATTTCATTGAAATTTACTGATCTTCATAATTTCATGGTTCATTGAACTTTAATAAACTGACTAACAGTTTTAAATACAAAAAAGCAACATAAAGTCACATATCGTCCTAGTATTGGACTCCTCAGCAGTGCGCATCCACGATCCTGCACCACGCGGGGCCCGAACCCAGGACCTACTGGCTTCGCGCGCGAGCACTTAACCACTAGACCACTGAGCCGGCATCCAACGGTGTTAATGTCTAACTTCAACTGACTCATGATTTCAATCTGTGAAATTTCTAAAAATAAAAAAATATCCACAAAACCCATTCTGATAAAGTCACATATTTAAAGAAAAAGAATTCACTATCAAAGTGTGTTAACAATCTGGTGTTGATCAAAGAAATAAAATAAAATTTATACGAAAACTTGAACTTGTTATAACATGAAGCTTCTTTAAAACTACTCGCATAATACTATCGGAGGCATTTCATCGTAGTTGTCTTTATGTTCCCAGCTAATTCTGTAGGCATAATTACCGGTGAAAATAACAAGATGTTTTTTAATAGAGAAGAACAATAGAAATTGATGTTGTACGTCGGTAATATTTAAAAGGGAATACGTAGGTGTATCATTATAGCATCATAAGTAAAGTATTCTTCCGAAATTTCGTGAGAGTTATTATCTTGTTGACCTTTGGTTATTCTTCATGAATACCTCACATGTCTTGATCACGCTTTGCAGTAGATCGAATATGTTTCTTATTTGATACATAATATTCTCACAGTGATGAATTTCCCACTCTTTTTAACTATTCTTTTATACCAGGGGAAAGTTGTATGATGGTTACTACAACATAATAGTTTTAGCTAGTTTGTGAGATAAATATAAACCATTTGAAAGATTTGATTTCAGAACACTGAAGGATTTACTGGAATAGTTTTTTTGAGAAAAAGACTTATGAAATAGGTCTTAAAATCCAGATATTGTTGTCTTTATAGTGTTTATAAAAATAATTAGTGGCTTCGTAAATTGTTTTTGACGTCTTATTAAGTATAAAGATATGGTAATATGTAACGAACATGGTTTCCTTCTATTGAGGAAAAAGGCTGAAGAATTACATCGACAAAAAACAAACAAAACTCCAGTAGTTTGTGGTATGAATGTTTAGGAAAGTGATTTTTAGTATAGATTGTGTAGAGGAAACTTTTGTAAAAACATTTTCAATAGTTTCCACATTTACTGGATACATTCAAAACACTTCATGTACCTGCTTTACAAATATCATTTATTTTCAAGTCATGATGTCTGCTGAAAATCGAGTATTTCCTTTATTTTAGTTCTTGAAATCCAATATTGAACCTACCGATCCAAATAATCCTAAAGAATACCCCAAAGTTCTGGTTCATCATTTTCCGCCTATGAATAAAAGAAAACGTCGATTCATTCATGATATTGTAGAATACTATGGTATGGAAGCTTGTACATATGATCCGGGCCCTAACTGTCATGTAATGGTTATTGCGAGACGTGGTTATTCCAAACTGCCTGTAGGATCAATGAGTAATCGTGGAAGCCTTACCAGTGTACTCAAACGAGAATATCCTGGAGCCGTGAAGCTTTCCAACGAACAACCGAAATTGGTAAAAGATCCTAAGACTGACTGCAATGTATTACCTGTTTCAAATATTTCGACTTTGTCTTATGCTCAAATACTACGTGGAAAAATCACTTAATAAAACAGACTTTCATTCTATAAATGAAATAAGATTTACGTTTTGTGACGCACAGTATTCCAGATTCATTCGATTTTCATTCGGTTTAATCTGTTTACCTTGTTGTATTTACATGAGGTTATTTTTTAAAATGAATATTCGTAAATTGCTTGAGTCACTGGTAATATTTCCCTGCAAACAATCCATTCTGTACAGTAAGTAAATGCCACACTATCGTAATCCACCTCGTAATGTTGCTGTTATATGAAAATCAATTGACCAAAAGATCTAAAAGAGAGGGTAGGACATATTGGAAGCGCGAATTCACAGTATCATTTACTTTTATAAAGAACATAAACTTTCTGTATTTGTCAGTTAATATACAGGTACTTCGCACTTGAACGCCTTTCGATTGGTTGGTGGTTTTTCGAATTTTTAATTTTGCTCCTATGACCTGAAAAAAGTTCGGATTGTAATTCAATTATTGTTGTGACGCGTCGATTAATGTATACGGCTTCCTACAGTGGAAGTAACTCTGCACAATATTTAACTCTTAGAATATATAAGGAGAATACTTTACCACTGCGCAATAAATGCAACGACTTAATTATGAACAATGGATATGAATGCTGATATTTCCAGCAGTGGTTCAATTTTGAAGAAACGAGGACAAACGGCAGTCGGCTGCCTGTTATTTAGTCCAATACTACTTAAAGACTAGGGTGCAAGTGGATTGGTATTTACGTCTAAGGGGGGCCTTTTTCCATACTCTACAGCATATCTAGAAAATATACTTAGTATACAGTATTCAGAGCGCATAAAAGTATATGGTGGCCCATGATCTGACTCATATGGTGTGAATGATAACTTTCGCAATACAAATCCTGGCTATTCTCGTATATAATCATCGACCTAACTCGCATCAGTGTATAGTGGAATTTAATATATCAAATACGGTAATGAATTTCGAATATGTGCATTTCACACGGTCGTTGATCGGAAAGCGAAGTAATAAGAATTGACGTGCAATAACTGAAGCAAATGAGCCAACTCAACTTAATCAAGCGTAGATCGATATTTATTTTCAGGTGAAAATAAGTTAGATATGTGATGAGTAAGTTCGGCAATGAGCGCACATGCGTTTATCTAAAAACAGCCAGAATGTGGTTTAAGAATAATGAATTGATTGACTTGTCTGAAAGCTAGAATAAACTATGTGGACGTAACATAGCACATGAAGTTACACTACTCCTTACAAGTATCACAAACTTATCTATAAGGCGTCACAAAGAAGGATAGACTCATAACATAGAATTCAGTGTGTCAGAAATCACGTCTAAGTGATACTCGGAAAAGCTTATACTTACCTCGGATTACCCGACGTTTTTCAGTAAAATGTCGAGCGAACAGTGCATTGCTGTAAACATTTTGGTTCTGTGTTCCTGTAATTTGGAATCTTGGAGGAAAGAAACTTGGAATACTCTATGTTTGGTCATCGTAACCTTGTTAGCAAAACTTATCCTGGTCACTGAAAATGTATTCAAAAAGCAGCGATGATGCTTTCCTAGTAAGTTAGTCAAAAATGACCCAGTACTTCCAGGATTTCGTTATTCGGTACTCGATAACGCGTTCGTCTGGAACAACATTATGTGCAAAAAAACACCAACCTAGTTAAATCAGAAGTCATGTGTTACTGAGCTCGAAGACATATTTCGAAAGCTACCGATATGTTGAAAGGCGTTTGGTCTTAACCGGATTACAGTTAAATGAATGCGTTACATGGCGTATCAGTTCAATATTTAGTATGACGAGTGACCAGACGATTTCAATTAAAGTGTTTCCAATAAAACTAATGAGGTCAGTAACGATGTCAAAGAATTACGGAATTATCTTCAATATGAATCTGTTTACCAGTACGGACTTCACTGACATGCCCATAAAAGATGACTGTAAAGCTTTTTGCAAGTTCTCTAACTCACATTAGACTAGATAACAGGTGGACAGTTTTTTTTTGAAATGGACTATATGATATAAATCCATAGTTTTTATTATCATCGTAAGCATTGTGATACTCACACCATTTTACCAGCTCTTTATGCGAGTGACATGGACGTGTTGTGCGAATTCCTCAGGCATTAGAGGACCGAGCTTGAGTTGTGAACAAACTATAATTTGATCATAAGTGCAACCTGGCAGGACTATTCTTGGTAGATGTCAGTTGAACAAATACATTTTTGAGTATTTTCGACATACTGTACACTTTAAAATGCTATTCCTGCTTTGAACATGCTATAGTTATCCATAGTTTGCAAAACTACAAAGGCATATCAGATTCACTTTCAGAATTTGTTTTTTTACACCATTGATGGTTCAGGTGACCTATGTAATACCGCGACATTTCTTCGCTTATCAGGTTTTTGTGTTCCAAAACATTTTGGTTAAGTGGTAGTTCAAATACGATCAGAAAAGCATAGCCAATTTTTGGAGCAACTGATAGTCAGTTTAACACATGTCTAAAAGTTAACACTCGCGATAAAACCGTCATCTATAAATCACTAGCAGTAATCTGAAAGTCAATTATTGGTAAGTAATTAACTTTTCTATTTGCACCTTCCTTCACACTGGTTTATAACTCTGGTTTGTCCGTAGTTTTTACGTGAACATTCTCAAGGTCTTTTCATACTCGCTTGCGGTATTTTTGTTTCCAATGTTTTCGTTAGGTTTTCCTTTATTCTTTAGGTATTTGTGCTCTGTCATCGTGGCTCATAATCTTCAAATTAAGCGTTGCATTCATGCCGTCGATTGTGAATTGTCGTATAACTAGCTCATTTGTTATTATTGCGTCAACGTTAAGTTCTATAACGCCCGGTAAGAATTTATTTTGACGTATCACAACTACTGTCATTTTCAAGCCCATATAATCTACCTTTTAAATCTAAATTATTTACTGCGGTTATTTAATAAGCTGGTATTCGTACTTTCAAAATTCCATTTTATATATCGATTATTACAATTCCGAATACCAATTACCATTTTGTAAATAGGAGAGAGATAATTGTATTTTCTCAAGTTATACGTATCAACAAAATGTCAGGTCTTGCTCTCAACGGAATATTTCTACGATTCCGTAAATTCTACACATAATTGTTTCCAGTTATGTTAATCAGACAAAATATCTTATGTAAAAATAACTCAATATCTCAAACAACAAACATATTCAAGATATACAAGCATACTCGTAGTGTTGTTATTTATTTGAACACGAATATTGGTATAAAGGGGCACCAGATACATATGCGCCACACAAGCTGCTTGGTTTTTCTGTGAGCTTTGATAGTGTCCGGGTGTCCAAACGGAAGCAGGTGGTTTTCTCAGGGGGTCACAAACAGAGCCTTTGACCTAAAGGTCTAATCCACGATTCTGTGGAGCAACGTTAGGAGATCTATTCTCATGGTAGCCGGTGACCAATAATCGGTTCATACGCCATTTTACCTTCAGGATACTGGAGCCCATGTACACCATTGATTTGGAATCAGGGTTTTTCAAACCTCCTAGATGGACTCTCCGAGTCCACCTATCCGATTAAAGCGCCGGACGTTCGCTTTTCTCAATCTCGTTAACAGTACTTCCGCCACGAGAAGGCAGTAAGTAGGACTTCCTGGCAGAGACTATATACGCATGGCTATGTAATAGCATTTTGAGGAGAGCTGATTTTCTCAACCCTCTGCCGTACCAGGGCATTGTCGTAGCTCCTCAAACTGTCGTAAGACCTTTTTAATGCATATCAAAAATTGTGCGGTATAGATTACTAAGTTTTATGGATTTCTATTAGTTATGTTGAAACCAGGAAGCATGACTTCTTATTAACCAAAAATTGGTGGGACAAAGTACATTTTTGCAAATATGAGTCGTTTCTAATATAAAAATCATAAGCCGCTTTCAACCTGAAATAGTTACAACGTTGTAAGTGCAATAAAAATCTGAACAAATTCATGTCTTCTGATGGAATTTCAGTTTGTTTCTCACACTGTTCCCGTTATAGGCATCTGTTATCGGGTTTATAACCTAATAATTTTTGAACACACCACATAAAGCTGTTACGTCCACATTAAAAAAGCTAAATATATGTAGTATAAAGATGACGTCTTAGTTTTTTAACACCCATATATCAATCCCGATTGTGGACAAGGTAATTGTTCGTGTTAATTGAACATAAATCATAAAAACTTTGTGTATGAGTTCCTCTTGATATGGTGTCACAGAATGTTTTGAAGTCTATGACCGACATGCCATACTTCTCAAAAACCTTACTAACACTAATTCTATTGTTACTGAATGTACAAATTTGACAAGCGACTCTCAGTTGTCAAATGCAGTGTTGTTTTTTCCATACATTTTCTCCTCAAATACGGGCTTTTTAAAGCTTTTTTTTAATATCAAGCTTGAAGACATCGTACTACTAAATGATCCTCATAATTAATTGAAATTTGCTGGGAAGATATACGAAGTTTACTGGTCGAAATCTCTTGAAGTTGCTTCACTTTGGATGGTTAAAACTGCAAAGTAATTACTATATCAAAACGGAGACCCGAACGGAAGTATATATATGTGGATTTAGTTAGGGAGACAGTGCTGACTGATTGTTGATACTATTCTACAAAGTATTCCGGGTAGTTTTGTGGATACTTGAAAAGACTAATTTACGGAAAACTTGTTATAGTTCCAGCATGTGTTTTCTTCATGTGAAGTTCATACAAGATAAAAGAAAATTGTTCACCTTATTTGAATGAAGCTCTAAATATCTTGATTCCGTCAGCTATTTTAAGTACAGTGAAACATTGTCATTTGCATAAGCTGAAGTTCAATACGTCTTTATATCAGGTTACTGAATATCTAATCAGTTTGTCACTTTCGACACCAACCGAATTCCCGTAAATTTCGTCAGCTATCCTCAATTTCTTACCATGAGTTTGATAAATTATGTATTTATTCTTGAAACCTGATTTAAGTCATCATTTATGCAAACTACTTATTCTACTAATTTTATGTAAATATGACAAATCTATTAGATACTGAGTCATCATTTTCCTATATGTGATGCAGATTTAAGACAACCTAGCATAATTTAGCTGATTGACTTTGAATTATCGTCTATCTACAGATACATGAAGATATGATATATTATGTTCTTATGTGTAATTAGATGTAATTTTACGTCTTGCATTCGAGACTTGACAGTTACAAACTTGTAATCCTTTAAATTTTAGGTTTAGCGTTCGGTTTTTCTTCGGCATGCACTCTCCAAGTGTACTTTACGATCTGGAAATCTGCGATTTTCGCCAGTTCATTGAACATTGGTGGTCTTTTAGGCGGGTTGCTATCAGCGCGTATGTTGTCAACTGCTGGAAGACGTTTTACTCTTTTGGTATCTTGTATTCCTACTGTGTTAGGCTGGTTATGGATGTATCTATGTTCTGACGTAATCTATCAAAATGCCTTCCCAACAAATTTATTTGTTTTTGGTCGTCTTTTAACTGGATTTGGGGCGGGATTATGTATTCCATCTTCTGCCACATATATGTTAGAAATATCTCCAACTAAAATTCGTGGTATAGTTGGTTCATTACCTCAAGTTGGAATAGTCACAGGGATTTGTATATCTTTTTTCATGGCTATGTTTACGCTCTGGGAACAAATCGCCCTAATAAATACCATTTTCTCCAGCGTCATACTAATTCTTGTATGGCTTCTCCCAGAATCTCCGAAATGGCTTCGAAAAGCTGGCCGTATTCACGAGGCTAACAGTATTAGCATACAGTTGTTTGGGATAGTAAGTCTTATGTAAATCGTATTACCTAGTACATTTACATTTTTATACCTACGAGTTGAATCAATATCAACTCACATTTATTCTGATCATCCAGATTACGCAATACAACGTTGTTTTGAACTATTATTTAATTTAGTGTACTTCACTGGGTTTTGTTTATGATGGCCTGATTTATCTTCGTACGTATTTTCATCCTAACATTACTGGAAATTTATAGAATCATTTCCTCCATTAATTTCTATTTACTCGTAAATTTTGATCTTGGGAAGCGCGTTCCAATTCATTTAAAAGCTAACAGTTAATTAGCTGAAGTTGAAAGCTTCTTTTTTCAAAGTAGAATTTCATAAGTGAAAAAAATTATAGCATATTACTTTGTGATGCAGTTTTTATATTTCGAGACGGGATATAGGAAGAATTTGTTTTCATAAGTATTCCAGTTTACTGCTAATTGCCTAGTAAGACTGTCCAAAGTATCTGTGGAAAATTCGTATCCATTTTCAATCAAATTATATATACATTTAATTATTCAAATTTTATCAAATGCAATCTATTTAAATATTTTATCACATGATGAGATTCCAATAAAAACACTGAGATAACATTGCTTTTGTTGTAATTATGTGTCAAAGCATTCTAAGTGATATTACTGATGAAGAGTAATGGGAATTAAAAGGAAAAGAAAATTTGTTAATGTGAGCTGAGAATTTCGTGAATTGTATAAGATTTAACTTTGTTATGTTTTGTATTCTCGAAATTTTTTAAAAAGAAACATCTTCAAATAAATTTAACATCAGGCTTTTAAAAAGCATCTAAAAGAAACCTGATTTGCGGATTTACATGGCATAAACAACTTGTTGGTAGCATTTTGATAATCCTAATGCATTAATTAATGTCGAACTGTAATTTAAACATCTACTATCGTTGTGTGTTGCGGCAGTAGATCACAATATTACAATTATTATAACATTAAAGCCCAAATGTTTGTGAATACACTGTCAGCACAAATTGATATCTTATAGTTGACAAAGTATTTGGCTGTAGAGAAAAGTAATGTCAGCCGTTCACTAGGGAATTATAGAGGGATTGTACTTTCAAATGTCCCATGAAGCTGATAGTTCTCATAAAATTTATTAAGCTACTATTCAAGTTATTAATTTTATAACTTGAAACAGGTAGTGCTTGTTGACAATGATTTTGATGCGATTTATAGTCTGTAAAAAGCCTGCTTTTTCTTAAATTTAAGTAGGAAATATATTTGATTACATACATAAATTTGATTCCACTTCTTTTTTATAGCCTGTTTTGAAATGCTAACAATTTTATGAGTTTTATAGGAATAGCCCAATAATGTTTATTGGGATTAAGTTACTTTTTAAATCTCGCAATGCTGCCCATGTCAATCTTGTGTTTTATTTTGTAAGGTCAGTGGACATTCCGCGGATACGATCGATTTAAACGAAAGTATAACCAATAGTGAAACAAAACAGCACTCATTATGGGATTATATCTTTCCATGTTCACTTGTTCCGTCAAGTCAACAACCTCAATTACGAATGGCTACAGCCCTCATGATATTTCAACAGTTAACTGGTGTAAATGCTATCCTCTTTTTTGCTGAATCAGTTTGTCTCATTGGAAATGCAAAATCACCTCCTATTTGTGCCTTTTCTATAGGCTTTTTTCAAATGATATTCACTATTTTAGCAGCTTTTGTTATCAATCACGTGCGTCGAAAAAAGTTGCTTCAGTTTAGTGCCTTTATCATGGTTATAGCTTTACTAGCCTACAGCATTACAATTTCTGTAAGTTGACTGTGAAATAATTTATGTTTTCTTTTTATCCAATAACATCACTTTATTAATAATATCAATATGTTAAGGATATTCTCATGATATGTTTCATCCATCTTCACTATCAAATTGTTTTTTGCATGTTTCTAAACGAATAAACAAAGATATTCTCTAGATACATTCTCTACGTTTCTAAGAATATTGTTTGTTAAAGGGAAGCTCAAATGTGTTTAAATGGAACTATAAAGTACATAGTGAAAAAGTTAACTTTCGCATTCTTCAAACGTAAAGCAGGTAAACAAGTAGTTTTCTATATAATTAAAACTGTCGTAAACTTTTGAGTTCTTTTGTTGAGTGTTTATTTGAATTAAAACCAACCAGTAGTGGTCTTGAAAACCTTCAGTACCAATTTTAGCGATGGATCTCTTAAAAAGAGACTCATATGTTTTGAATGCACAAATAGCATTCTCTTACCATAGTCGAGAATGCTAACTTAATTTATAGTCATGATATTTTATGAAAAATTTAAGTAAAGAGAAGTCCTTGTATATCTGCCCATTAAACTATGGGTTGTGTCATGTATATCACAGGTGATTTCTTCAATTTCTGTAGATGGGATATATACATGTTCAGATGGTCACGATGTGAGCCTAAAATCATAATATTTCCGGATGAACATAACATTAGACATTTAAGCTTGAACTTGGACTGCTTAGCGGATTTAATTGTTTGGTTTGAAAAATTCCAGGTTAATCATGGAGTATTTTGTGCTACGACTCTTCTAATGATGATCTTAACTATGTAAATGGAGAATTTAATGATTTTTTGCGAACAGTATAAATTACTTAAAGGTTTAAATTCATAAGGTCTATTTCTTTTCGTTTTATATGAAATTATCTAGTAATAGAGTACTTGGTAAATATGGTAAATCGATTGATGAGGTAGTAAATCTTCATTAACTGAGGTGTTTGGGACATGTGTTACGTATGCACGACCACCGCCTACTTCTACGAACAATGTTTTCTAGTATAAGAGTAGGTTGGAAGAAAGCTAGGGGCGTCCAGACGGAAACATGTCACCTGTCCATGAAGTCACCGACAATTTAACTCAGCCATGTTAATAGGTGTAGACTACCTGGTTGGGGTCCGTGTGATTATCGTAACCAATACTTATAGACTTTGAATGATATGGCTCATAACCCCGCTCAGGTGCATCCACTGCTTGTCTTTCCCCGAATTCTGAGATTTTATGTTCCTCATTACTTTCTTTGTTTTTGTTTCACGAATTTTTTTTTTTCGAATCGTATCTTTGATACCCAATCTATCTTCTTACTACTGATAATGTTACTACCTCTACTATTCTGGTATTTAGCCTGACAGTTTCTCTCAGTGCTAATTGGGTATGATAAATTTATCGATGTACATACAAACCATTTTCTACGTTGTGACTGAATAACTGATGACTTTCTATCCTCAAAACATTGCATTTTCACTAACAATGCGCCGATAATGCCTACCAAATGCATTATGAAATATATTAACAAGTTATTTACCTTGAATCAGCCACCTTGCAAATTATGATATTAATATTACTACAGTTGCGCCATATTTATCAAAAGCAATTAGAACCTTCATTGTACAATCAGTATATTTTTTTGTATAGTGAAACTCAAAAAAGTTCTTAAAGTGCACGTAATCTTGCTTAACCCTCCTGTTTCTAGATGGAAATTTGTTCTCAAGAAAGTTTGTTCATAATGCCACATCGTCAAGCATGAAATATTCTTATTAACAGAAGGACAATTAGCAGGATTTTTGCGATCTTAGATGGTGGTTGGAGGTAGTTGACAGGAAACCCTGGACCCGGTTTTCGTGCTACTTGGCACTCGTCAGCAAGGTGTACTTGTAATCTTGAGGAAACTGGTGATCCCTGACAGATTCGATCCCGTGTGACCCAGCTTCACAGTCAGAGACGTTACCACTGAGCTATCCGGGCCGCGACCAACCTCCTGTAGGACTGAGATATTATCACAGTTGGTTGATCACTGGGTGGTGACCAATGTCATTTGTGTCAAGTCCTTATTAGTACAAATCGAATGCTATCGACCATGATGCAATGTGGCTACCAGTCTAGGTGACTCGACACTGCGTGCACTATGTTGAGATTAGATGATGGTTTGAGGTAGTCGACAGGAAACCCGATAGTGCACGCAGTGTCGAGTCACCTAGACTGGTGGCCGCATTGCATCATGGTCGATAGTATTCGATCTGCACTAATAAGGACTTGACACACATGACATTGGTCACCAGTAGTCAATCAATTGTGATTTCTGCGATCTTACACATAATTCTTGTGTTGCGTTTATAATGTAGTGGGTTAGTGGAGATTGCTGACTGTTACATCACGAATTGACATTAGTCAAACAACAGTGAAGCAGTAAACAATTAATGGAATTTAAAACTGCTTCAGTTTTATGAATGCTCGTTGTGAGACGTGAAATACCTCGACCCTATCCTCAGCATGGTCATATAAGGGGAGTGCTAAGGAGTCCCTTACCAGGACAAGACAGCTGCCCCCAAATGCCCTGGTACGGCCGAGAGTGGAGAGAATCAACTCTCCCTCTCGAAATGCTCTCACATGACCACGTGCATACAATCACTGACAGGGAAGTCGTACTCACTGCCTTCTCGTGGCGGGAGTGTTGTTTACGAAATTGAGAGGACGAAAAGCGAATGTCCGGCGCTTTAACCGGATTGGTGGACACGGAGAGTCCACCTAGGGTAGTTGGAAAACCCTTATTCCAAACCAATAATGCACATGGACTCCAGTATCCTGAAGAAACAAGTGGCGTATGAACCAATCGTTGGTCACTGGCTACCATGTGACTGCATCTCCTTACTATACTCCACTGCCTTGTGAATCAGACCTTTAGGTCGAAGGCTCCGAGTGTGGCCTACTAATTAAACCACCTGCTTCGATTTGGTCACCCGGGCACTATCACAGCCCTCACACACATCAAATGGGATTTATGTGGCGCATATCTTCTTGGTGCCTCTTTGTACCAATGTTTATGTGTTCAAATCAAATCAAACCAAATAGTTTTGTAAATAAAATTATTCCGTGATTTTAATTGGAAAATTCAACACTATCCACAGACCTGCAGTACTGACAATTATCATTTCCTCGTTGGTGACTAATTTCGAGAGTTAATTCCCGAAGTACTAGTGAGGCGTCGTGACCAATTAAGTTCAACCATGTTTAGTGTAAGGCATTTACCCCTCGTTGACTTTGGAATATGATTGTAAATTATCGCGGAATGATTTAAATTGCACGTATAAGCTAGTGGATACGGTTTAAATAGTCTAAGCGGTAAGTACTTGTGGTAAGACCTGAGGGCCCTGGGCTTGATCTCTGACTGAAATTGTGGATGCAAACTTGTTTAATTTTAATTTAGAAAAAGAACCAATTATCTAGATAGCAAGAATTTACAAGATTTGTTACGTAATAATTTTGAAGGATTTAAAAAGTCTACATAAGTTTCAAGAATTCGATAATTAAAAATCACAGATGAGTTAAAAGATAATGTTAAGGTGGATGATATGATAGTTAGCTTAGTGAAGATTGTATAACAAGTTACAAATACTATCAATATTAAGAAAAATATCTGGAAATGATATAATAAAAATGTATCAACATTACAGTGATAAATTGTTAGCTGTGTCTTTATTAATGCATAAATTCAGTTATCTTTTAGACACTACTTCAACAAAATCTTGACGAAGTTGGTTTTTTAATAATCTATGAGTTATTTCAAGAGATGGAAAGGCAAACTTATTCAGAAATTATAAGAGGTAGTAATCTATAGAGTAATAGCTGAAAACAATTGTCTACCTAATGAAGTAAAAAAAGATAATAATTAACACCCATAATCTGTAGAGTTAAAGGGCTGCCAAGGTCATGGGTGTATGGGGGGTTGAAAATGACTCTTCTGTATAAAGAGTTCGAGTTTGAAATGGTGAATTTCCGTAGCATCTGTTGTGCCTAAATTCCTCGTCCAAATTTATTTTGAGCATGTTCTTCTTACATTGTAAAGGATTTTGAACGACGATTTTCGTGGTGGGATGTGACCACAGTTGAGCATACGTTCAAGGTCTGAGCTGTTGATCGATTTGTATTCCCCTTGAGATGGTCATGCAGATTCGTGGTCAAATATTTGTTTCGCAAGTGCGCTGATTATCTGACGAATATGACCTGCTCCACAAGAGCAAGTAAGCTAATAAATGAACATTGAGGTGGCCCAAAGCAAAAGTTCGCTCTTGACACTCCTCTGAACGAGTTCCTTTCTGTATGAAACAGATCGGAGCTCTACTGAATAAAACTTCTTTCTCAGTAATCTGGATAGTCTAATCTTTAATATATCAGCTGCCGTATCTCCCTTAAATTCGATGTTCGGGAATAAAATTTTCTTCTGAACAGTGGGAGTGCTTTCAACTTGACTTTTCGATTTTAGTTTACTATCAGTGATTTTAGATGTAGAGCCATTCTCCACAAGTGTTTGTCGGATTATATTCAGCACATCATCAGGTATGCCTTCAGTGCATATTCATTTGGCTCTCGAGGATAGAGAATGGACTAAATTTTCTTCTTACTCAAGGTCACCCAACTCTGGAAGTTCGTATACTGCGCCTTACAGTTTGGCTTTTTGTATATCGATCGTTGTAGAGACTCATCTGATCCTTTTTTAAGTAGAAAATCAAGAAAGCGGAATTCTGAGTTCAACTCGGTTTCTATTGTGACCGTAATTGAGTGCTAACAATTATCGAATCCTTGTAATATTCTATTAGGGTCGCTGCCTTGGTCACAGATTATAAAACTATCCTCCCTATATATATCTTTTTGGAATGAAATTTACCACTTGTTAATCAAAGGGTAGTGTTCTTTATATTAGGCGTAAAATAGTCTGCTGGGAGAGGATCCAATGGAGATCCCATTGTGACACTATTTATTTATTTATAGGTGTCATCATTTAACTTAAATTGCATTTTGAAGTGCAGTATAGCTCTTTTACGAAGTTTTTCTTTCTGATACTTCGACGTTGGTTTCTAGTTTCACCAAATCGAAAGTCTGAAACGCCATACTTGCAGATCCGATTTCTGACTAATAGTAGGATTTTCACCAGCCATTTGACAGTTGGGTGGTATAGGGAATTTTTCTGATCCATTATCGGACGAGGAAGGAGAACTTTTTTATGCACATATGGGGGGCCATACAATTGTGGGATTGTAGAACCTGATGGCTTTAAACCTGTGAATAGGCCGTCGCCAATGGTTGATTAATTCTATATCTTTTTCAGTATTGTAGCCAGCTTAAGTTCGAATTGATCGGTGGCATCTTTTTCAGTTGGTCCTTTAGAAAATTTTTCCGAATTATTAAGTATTGTGGATAATTTCTCAATATGGTCCTTTCGAGCCATCAGAACAATCCCAGCTCCTTTATCTAGACGGAGTAATGATAAATCCTTATTCTTTAAATGTTCATTTGATATTTATGCTCCTTTGATAGGAACCATTTCGTTGATGTTTGCGAATCGGTGTATTCATGGGGACAATTAGTAATTGTTGATTTAGTTCCTCAAAATGATTGTTAGGAACTGAGGTTAAGTCAAATGTTTCTTCCATCAGATTTCAAATTGTATTTTTGTGTGTTCGCCAATTTTCTCAGAAGTATCACAAAGTTTTGGACCGAGTGACAGTGCTTGTATTTTTAACGTGGACGCTTATGCATTACAATAGTTGAAAACATATTTGTCAGCAGATTCTAGAAAGGTTTTGTTGACTCCTTTTGTTTTTAATTTTTAATTCATGTTTTCAGTGTTGCTTCGCGACTATATAGACATATTCTTTAAACCTTCCGCATTCGTCACTTTATAATTCGTATAATGCATTTGCTCTCAATACAGTATTACGTCTCGCTTCAGGCAACCTGGAGTTTGCCGCATCGATATGGTTCAATATTAAGTGACTGAGTGACCGATAGTTAGGATGGGTGTGATTTCGACGGAGTGCTTTCAAAAATGGTTTCAGATATTCGTGTTTATCTATACAGCTTTTCATAAAATTGATTTTCGCATTTGCTTTCGCAAGTCTGACAGTATAACATAGAAACCCATTGAGTTCCTTAACTACTATAGGACTAGGTTAATATTCCTTTAATAATATTTGTCTTTTAAATTGTAATAACAATTATTCTACCATTTCCACTGTCCTCTTCCAGGCTTATCCATACATTGATGAACTTGGTCAGTTTTGGATTATTTTATTTATGTTTGGTTATTCATTTGGCTGGGGACCATTACCAGTACTTATTAGCATGGAATTATTTCCAGTTAGTAGTCGTGGAAATGCTGTCAGTGCTGCTATCGCTGTCAATTGGATCTTTGCTTTTATAATAACAGAACTATTTGAAATAACTGGTAATTTAATTAATCCTGCCATAGTATTTGTCATATTTTCTATATGTTGTTTAATATCTATGGTTTATGTGCATAAATATTTGCCAGAAACTAGCGATGAATCAAATGGATCAACATTAGATACTATTTCATCATTATCGTATAAATCACAATTAAGTGCTTAATGAGAATGTATTTTCTATAATTTCTAATAAAAACACTAGTTATTACTGTTTTTGATATTTGTTTCCTTAGAAATCATATTTTTTTCACATTATTTTAATTTTTTTCTCGTAAGAGTCAAGTCTCCCTTGACTTGTTCTTTTTTATCGCTTTCTCTCGTATAATTGATGTTCTCGTTTATATGTGTATATGCCTGATTCAGAAAGATTAATATTTCCCTATTCCACTTACACACTACTCATGCTTCATTATGTGTTGCATAAGTACACTTTCCTTTTTTTTGTTTGTAGATCATGACAAACTTATTTTTTAAAAAAACAATGTCGATATTTTTTTTTTGTTGTTTTTTTCACAACAAATGTTACGTAATATTTGTTTCAATAGTTTTGATTTTTCACTGAGTGATTAAAATATGATTTGTTGCTATGGTTTTTGAAGTTGATTTTGTTACCTAAATACCCAGGTAAATGGTGAAAAGTTATTATTATTATTATTTGTGATTATTATTATTATTATTATTATTATTATTAATTGCTTTATTCAATATTATATTTTGGTACAATATAAAATTCTCAGCACAGGGTATTTTAGCAAGTTACTTGCGCAAAAAAAACCGTGACAAAGACAAAAAAGGGAGAAAAATGTTTAAAAAAAACCCGAAAAACTGTGCAACTTTTCAAATTAGAGACATGTTAAGAATGCAGGTTATTGACTAGGTTAACTCTAACAACCTTTACGTCACAGAGTATATTTGCTAGGTAAGGTATTATCGAGTTATTTATTCATTCTTTTGTTTTTATTAATGATAATTACTTCTTAGTATATTCTTCATCTTATTAATTTTTGTACATGAAATATGAATTGAGAATTTTTTTTCAAGTGGTACCAATGGGATATTGGTTATTTGTTCTTATTTTATGTCATAAAGAAATTGTTTTCAATGTGGTGTTATATTGTGTTACATTTTAAGATAATGAATGAATATTTGAATAAGAAGTTGTCTTGTAGATGTATTTGTTGTTGATGAAATTGTTCGTTTTTTTTGGTGATCATCATTGTGTAACATTTAGAAAAAATATCATAATTAGACTGACGGGATTTCTAGGTAAAGTCTATCAAATGTATCCGTGGTAGACTAAAAACATTTCAATATTTTCTATAATGATCAGTATGAAGTTCTGGGAGATTTTATTTAGATCACGTCCCGATCTAAGTAAAACAACCACTAGAAAACTGGAAACACTAAGCGATCACTTCGTTTCAGTAGGAGAGTTTTCAGTCGTGCCCATCTTCAACTTCTCAAGGAGGAATAATAGAAATCAGTACCTCACGTTCGAAAGCTTAATCTCTATACCACTAGTGTGATAGTCTAACTTCAATCAATCCACGTTATTGTGCAAACACCTTCACTAATATATACTTCAAATCAATAAATTTAGTGGATGTAATTAACTGTAAAATCAAAGAATGAGTCTATTAGTAAAAGCAACAGTAGTTATGTAGAATAAAAACACAAAGAGAACACGTTAGGAGTAATCCAGTAGCCATTTCTTATAAACCGATAATACTTTACATCACTACAATTGATTTTATCTTATATCATTTGTAGTACATAGCGTATACCTGTGTCACAAACTCTTATTTAAGAACTCAACTCAATGGGTCAGACCGATTTCGAAGCTCTTTATAAGTACGTATCCCATTCTCATTTGATTATACGTTTGCTTATTTTCATTAGAAGACATGACTTAAGTGATGTGTACGCCTTTTCAAGTTTCCTCAGCACATTATTAAAGTAAAAAGTATGAGATATTCACGAAACAGAATATTAGGGGTAGGTTAAAAAAGTATTTAATGTTTCCGTTACACTCCAACGTCATTCGTTCCGAGTCAATAATCAGAGTTGTCACATAGAACCTGTTTTATTGTGATCGCTTAGCAGAACAGATCAGATCGGTAACCACATGGATTGATGGAGGCTACAGATTTGGATACTTATAGCCTTCTTTTATTCTATTCCCATCCCAGTCAGTCTACGATTTCAACGTTGTTGGTGGTTAGATGAAAAATCATTCAGTTGTTTCAAACATTATCAACCGATCAATATCTGCGATATTCATGTCAAAGAAAGTTATTCAAGAGTATTGTATTCTTAGTTAATTAGATAATTAGTTTAACGATAGATTTCGTCATTATAATCTATACTTTTAGTCCCTTATTTTAAACTAATAATTGTGTGATACACATACATATTTCAAACATATGGTCAAAGTAAGAAAGAAAAGAAACAAACATGAAAAGTTTATTCTGTTACGTAAGAGAAAAATGATAATAATTGACACGTATCAGTATGACAAATCTCAATAGTATCAAGTTTTCCGGATCATTGTTTGATTAAGTCCATCTTATCTGATCATAATCAACAGTTTATTGAATGAAGAAAGAATATCGAAGTAAATGATTTTATTATGTCAAAAGATATATATATGTATATATATAACCTAAGTAAGTATCAAGAGTGTTAAAGTATACCAATCATATATCTCTTTTGTAATGTATAGTTTTTAGGTTTAATGTTGTTGAAATGGAAATTCTGGAAAATAGTAATGCATTCATTTATGAAGTGGTGGTTTAATGTTTAAGGCGTTCAACCTTCAGTTGAAAGTTTGGATCTCATTTTGCCTACTTCTGTTTGGATCACTGGGTAACTCTTACACTTTGAGTGTTACTCAAAATCAAATAAACAAGTTTGTACTTGGTTAATGAAGTTAAGAAATAGTTAATCAATTTATCTGAGAATGAACTTTGAAATCTTAGATAATTTTTTTGACAACTGGTCATTAAAGTTATTCATTCATAGTTTGAAGTGTAAAATTTCATGTTAAAGTAGAGCCACTTTTAATTTTCAGTAGACTTTATATGTATTGGATGATTGTGATAATTAGTTATAGAAAATGTTCTATTTTAACTTGTTAATTACTTAACTCAAAATTGTGTTTATGTAGTACAATTTAATCGATAAAATTCATTTAACAATAAAGGACTAGATAAGCATGATATCGGTCACCATTCAGTAGTTAATCAATTATAAATATCTTAGTCCAGCTAGAGGTCATTCGCTCTCCGAATAACTCATTGATGACATTCCAAACTCTAAAGCTGGATAATACAAGTTTGTAATTATACATGCAGTATTGATTCCGTCAAGATTACAGGTACATCTTAATCATAAATGCTAACTAGAATAAAACCTAGGGTCAATATATTCTGTCTTCTACCTACAATCTCTGGACATGTAATAAAGTATTTGTAAATTTTGGTATCTATTATTTTATTTATTTATTCAAACACCTAAACATTGATTCAAGGAAGCACCAAGAAGATATGCGCCACATAAATCATTCGATTTGTGTGAGGACTGGAATACTGCCCGGGTGACCAAACCGAAGCAGGTGGTTTTATTAGCAGGCCTCGCCCTGAGTCTTTGACTCAAAGGTTCGATTCACAAAGCAGTGGAGCATAGTAAGGAGATGCAGTCCCGAGAAATTGGTTCATACGCCATTTGTTTCTTCAGGATACTGGAGTCCATGTGCACCATTGGTTTGGAATAAGGGTTTTCCAACTACCCTAGGTGGATCCTCCATATCTACCGATCCGGTTAAAGCACCGGATATTCGCTTATCGTCCTCTCAATTTTGTAAACAACACCCTTGCCACGAGAAGGCAGTGAGTAGGACTTCCCTGTCAGTGATTGTATGCACGTGGTCATTTGAGAGCATTTTGGGAGGGAGAGTTGACTCTCTCCACCCTCGGCCGTACCAGGGCATTTGAGGACTGTGTGATAATGGCTTTTACTATCGAACTAAGCATTATCAAGTTGATTATAAGTTCAAAATAAATTTTTTAAAAAACTATTTCAATCACTTTTAATTTTAATCAATAAATGAATTACTCTCTTTCTCTCTCCCTTATTTCCCCTATGTTTTAGTGAATGAATATAAATTTTAATCTTATTTGGGCTGAACGACTTTAAGTGAACACATTAATTTCCACCTTACTGGTAAAAAAAAGTAAAGATTTTTTCCATGACAACTGTATCGTTGAAAATTATAGTATATAAAGATTAGTTAAGAACATTCATAGTGTTGGTGAGATTATTCTGTAAGATATTTTTTTAGAAATTTTATACCATAATAAAGTTTAGTTGGAAACGACATAAGTAACTAAAGCAAGGTACATATTTAACATAGTTGAGATTGATTACTACATATATATGCTGTAAATGGAGTCATGAAAAAGGGAGTAGTGAAGGAAGTTACAAGTGATAATAAAGAGACAATGAGTTTTTTTAAAAAAAGAAAACAAATCAGCGATAATCAAGGCATTTGTTTAACATAACTTTAAAGTTAATGTTTTGAATGAATGTCAGTGGGATTTATAAACCATAATGAAGAAATAATGTAACTAACAAACGTTAAAATAATACATATTACCAATGAGAATAAAAAGTTTACCACCCTTTCCTTCTATGTGTTAACGTGAGGTTGAAAGTGTTTGGTGAAAAATTATATGATACGCGTCTGAGACACTCAAGTTGTGCTCACTATGTATTAAATGTTTAGTAATCATCCTTCTGAATACTTTACTATCATTTACACTCAAATTACAGTGAGTATGATCGTAAAATCTTTTGGATGCCATTCTTTCATTTTTTTCACATGCTTTCACAAGTAAATGTAAATTCGTAAATACATTTAGAGGTGACTTTTGAAGGGTACTGATCAACTCTCAATTTATTTAAAGAATATCTGATGTTATACACCAGAAATAGTTAGGAAGCTTCTCTTTAGCACTACTTTCATTTTTTAGTCGATCCTATCTTAAATCTCCTCACCTTTCAATCCACGAAGAATGTCAACGAATTTTCGGTTAACGGCTGTTTATTTGGGATATTCCGTAATCACTTTTCCGTACATCGTAATGCATTTCTTTGGATATGCAATTTTTATAAGGCACTCTTCAAGGTATGCCATCGAATCCTGTATTTCGTCGCCTGAACACAACTTTCTATTCTTTTAAATACAGTTTTGACTAAATAACGTTTATAAATAATGAGACATGAACTATATTTTGATGGAGTTTTGTTCTCTGAGATGGATGGTTCGTTCGTTTAGAACGATGAAAGCTCTGCGATCAAACCATCCAGTTCGAAGAACAAAACTCCGTCAACTGTTAGATTTTGTTAAATTTTTTATCTTGAATTTATATGTCCAATTATCTGATTTTCATTGAAACCTATTTTAGTAACCACTTATTATTAATCTCTCAGATAATAGAAAACACATTTTGGATTCTTAGTCTTACTCTTATATTATCTCAATTGTACTAATTAACTACTTGTGAAATTTCAACTTTGTTATTATTTTAATTGTACAAAAGTTTTTTTAACTAACTGTTGATTACATTGTTGACCTGACTTAACACTATTTCATTAGTAGTTATTGATTTTATACTTAATTTAATTATAATTGTGAACCGATCTGAGTTAATCTATCACTGATAACCCGGAAGCACTGGACGGCTATTTTGGCCTGGTATATAACTCTTCAGCAACGCCCATCCATCACTAGTGACTGGCTTTGAGAGGAAATTTCCGAAGTTCTAGTGAGGAACCGTGTCAAATGGAGCTAAGCGGTATCGGGTGTAAGGCTGTTACCTACCGACGATAACGCAACGTGGTCGCGTAATTTCGTGGACTGATTTGAGTTGGATATTAATACTGTTGGATGTCGGCTCAATGGTATTGAGTTTAAGCGTTCTTGTGTGAACAGTAAAGAAATTTTTTCAGATGCATAAAGTGTAATAGGAATAATTAGTCTTCTGGAGGAGTTATGTAGATATTAGTCCCATAAAACTATAATCGTCTATTCACAAATGGCTTACTTCAAGATGTGTCCCTGAAGTTTCGTTTGGAAGTCGTGAGCGGAGGGTTTCAATATTGTCAGAAAAGATAGGTGTTAAAAACCGAACTGAATGATCATTATCCTATGTCCTAAATTGATTGGAGTGGGAAATGAACACCAACGCAGTGGTTAAATGCTCACCCTTGATACCTGAAGGTCTAGAGGTCTAATCCATGCTGGGGTAGTGACTGTTCATTGCTAAGGCATAATATACGACAACAAGAAGGGTGTCCAGTATTCCCTGATATTCGTCGGTACCAAAACTGAAGTCATTCCTAGATAGATACCACCTGTACGTGATAATTATAATAGTTGAGTAAGACACTTTGTATACGGTTTTCATGAAAGACTTGTGCCATCTTACAATCGAGATGATCGTTGA